AAAATTTTCAGAGTGCTGTGTTTTAACTTGATCGTATTTCCTCAAATACTACATAACCTTCTGGTACAGTTTCAAGTTTCCTAAATTGCAGTGAATACCATTAGCAAATTATTTTAAGTTTTTTTGAGTTTGGGGGACTTTTTTCCCCCTCTTTTAGCGGGAAGAGGGGAAGAAATCAAAGTACCCTCAAATTGAACCACAAGCATTGAACTAAAGAGCACCAACAAACCACTAATTAGGAGTTCCTGACAGAAGATGCTTAAATTACAATATAGCTAAAAAAATAAATAAAATGCTTTTGAAGAGAAAAATCACCCAATTAACCCCTTGCCCAGCAACTTGCAAACTTCACACGATGTTTCTGCCCTGCAGACAGTCGTGTGAGACACTTCAGGTGTGTTCCTGTCATTTCAGTGACATTAAAAAGACTTTATAAAAGTTGGTACTGTCCCAGTCTCCAGTCCTTGGCATTTCTCAAAGAAGTTCACACACACACGAAAAGTCATTGGTATATGAGCAAAACAACGTATCAGCTGCAAAAAGATTAAAAACAAATTTTTAGTTCAAGTACTTGGCTTGACGAGAATTGTACCATTTTCATTTTGACACATTTTATTTCATTTTGGCAGAAAGCAAAAATAATTTCACTCCACCCTTACTGGAAGTGAGTTTCCAGAGCCAAACCTATTATCTTCGGGGGGGGAAGTGCAGAGGGAGGGAAGACAAGTACTGCAACACGGTATTCAGGAACAGTCTGTATTTTCATTCTGGGAAAAGTTTTTTGTCATAGGTAAACCATTTCAAGGATTTTTTCCATTGTGTACTACTTGAGGTTTCAAAACCAGAACAGCTGAAATGCTACTAAACTGGCAAACAGTTTGCTCCTCATCTGCTGAATATGCACTCCACTTGAAAGAGCATAAAGTATTGTAAAACGAAAAGCTGACGTAAAATAAGTACTGGGGAAGGGAAGAAACAAGTACCAGACACACACAGTACAGCAACTGACGTTTAAAGTGACTTTATGCTTATCCTCCCCTAATGCCTTAATTACCCAGGAGGATACAGCCCAGAATTGCAGTTTACCACAGCCCAAGCGCTCCCCCGACCCCACACCCTGCTCCCTTCTCTCACCACAGCTATGGGTCCCTAATCCGCCAATGACCCCTGCTCCTCTCCCCCCTGCTACCTCTGCTTATTTCTTAGTCCTTACTCAACATTTCCACGTTATACCCTTCTCTACCAGGCCTACCTCAACGGAATTTGTCTAAATCCTGAAACTAGTGTCTTCATGTTGGTAATCTGCAGCACCCTATTGAAATAAACACAACGAAACCCAAACAACCACAAACCTGCCTGCACACAGGGTGGCATTCCCTTCCCAGCTTTTGTTTATAGTCCTTTCACTTTTTGACTCTTCCCCCCCTTGCATAACACTATAACTTTCGTTACACAACACTGCAGACAATGTTTTGGGGGATTTTTGCTTGGGGGAAGGATTGCTTTGTCTTTTAGTGGGTTTTTTGTTTGTGATCTTTTCATTTTCAATGACAATAAAACTCCATTTGCATGAGGGTTTGTATGGCTCCTCTGTACCAGCCTTCTCTCCTTGTAAATTGAGTCGTCTTCTATCATCCCAAACACCTGAAACTTTCTTGTTAATAATGAGATTCCTGGAGACCAGGAGAAGATTTTTACATTTACTATTTTTTTCTTTTGCTTTCAAATTCAGGGGCCTTCAAATAACATTTCAAATTAATACAGCTGTTTCCAGTTTATTCATAGATTAACAGTGTTTCAGATGAGCGAACTTCCAATGTTTATTCCTCGTCTAGAAGGCATTTCAAAAGCAAAGCAAAGTCACTGGCAGCAGACAGCATCTGGTGAAACACCCAAAATTAAGCTCAGCAAGAATGCTCAAAAATACTGTATTTCAAACTGACAAGAGATACTTTAAGGCCTCTTAGAGAAAACCTGCAGAAGAGATGGCAGCTACGTGAGCAAGCTTGATCTGCTTACAACACAACTGACAAAACCTGGTTTCCTACAGCTTTGTGTTGTTTGCCCCATAATGCCTAGCTCCTCTTGGACAGCCTTCCTGATAATCGCCGGACAAAAATAAAGCGGTGCTCTGGCAGACAGGCACTACTGCAGCACTGCTTAGCTGTGCTGCCAGGACCAAGAGCCACCACTGAGCTGAGCATGCAGGAGCTGACTTTGGCCAGCTTCTCCAAGTCTTGCCTGGTGGGAGGCATCCACTTGGGTATACTTTACCTACCTCTCCCAGTTTTGTCAAAACTTACAGGATCATCATAATTTCTAAGAATAGAGAGAACAGCTCAATAGCACAATCTGCATTTTCTCACAGAATAGTTTGCAGCAATGACTGCAAAAGAGATATTGGTCCCACTGGGTATGTCCTGGTTAAGAGTATGAAAGAAAAAGGAAAGAAGTCTGTATTTAACACACCTGGGACTAGCCTTCAAGAAAAAAAAAAAATCATCTCAGTAGGCAGCTTTTGTTTTCAGTTCAAAAGCAGCCCAGTTGCCCACGATGAGTATTTAAGCATTTTAGTATTTTGTTCTATTAATAGATTGGAAAAAAAAAACCCCAAACAGGATTATGTGGGGAGTCTCAGCTTTCAGCAGCACTCACCGTGCAGGCAGTACTATACAGATAACACTGCAAACTCCAGTGTTGTGCACTCCCCAGAAAATATAACCACAAATTCCTCCTCTTTGAGAAAAAAAAAACACAACAAAACACACACACACCCCTAAAAAGGATCTCTCTTTGAACAGTAAGAGAACTCAATTTAAGACAGACCACCCAAACAGTTTTTATCATAAAAAAACATCAAAAAGGACATACTTCAAGTGGAACTCATTAGTATTAATTTATGATAAAATCCATGACTCATTAAAATCTCTGAACAGGGCTGGTTTTCGCCTTGTTCATAACTGCTTCTGAACAGAGAATCATATATTCTTTCCAAGTTTATTACCACACCATCAACTAATTCTTGTTCAGTCTATAATATATATTTGTAACATAAGATCCAAAATAATTTTTAACATATGCTAAACTTAAACACTTTTTGTAGTACATGACAGGTGCCTCTGTAAGTAGTTTGTACATATGTCTCTAATATAAATATCTGTAATACTTTTAGATCCATTGTAAGGTCCGTATCAACATTTCAGTTATCCTTTCAATTTCAGTCTTTGAAGAGAGGGCCATAAAACCTGGTCTTAAACAAGACTCATTCAGCTCTTAGACACTAATTAAGATGACTGGAATTTAAACTCCCCAAAACATTTACAGGATTTCACAATGTGGACCAATAAGGAAGGAGAGTCCTAAAGCACACAGACTAGCTTTCTGAGCTAGTACACCTACTAGCATTATAACCATGCTTTACCCAGTTTAGTTTTTAATATTTCCTTTTTATTAAATTAAGCACAAAAAGGAAACATCTACCCTCTGACAAAAAGCAGACTTTAGTCATTTGGATTTTCTTTTTTTTTTTTTAATTGGTTACTTTGCTTCCCACCACTGAGGAGTATCAAGTACCTCAGTCACTGCTACATTTTATTCTGGGAAATGCTTCAGCATTTTGCAACCAGGGAGCTGATGCACAAAGTGGATTAAAAGACTTGCTCAAGACCACACAGGAAATCTCAACGAAGGCTGAGGGACACACCTGGATCTGAGCCGCTGTCCAGAGCTTTGCTATCTACTTTATCTAAAGTATTCAGTTTTATGAGAAAGTGGTCTGTAGTCTGGGAAGCCAACTTGGTCAGGGTCACTCGAAGGCAAACGAATCTGCGGCAATCTGTTCAGCTTCATTATCAGAGGGAAGTTTTAACCCAGAAATTAAAAAAAAAAAAAAAAAAAAAATCACACATGAAAATGCAGGCTAAAGCTTTCCACCCATCTACTGACAAACACATTAAAAATAAAAGAACAAGGCAGCACAACACTATGTACCTACTCCGGCGCGCTGCTGGGAAGCTAGCGATACCACGCACCCCGCCGGCGCTGCACAAGCACCCCGCGCCCGCGGATCGCCCGGCTCCCCCGGGCAAGGCGGGGCGAGGCCAGCCTGGCAGCACCGCGGCCAGAAGCCAGGGCCGGGCCGGG